TTCTTGAAATTAGGTCATAACTATGGTGCTTCATGTGTCACAGATAAGATGGACATGGCGAAAATATTGTTACAACTGTGGCGCTCGTTTGTAGGTGAAGGTCCCGCCCTCAACGTTCAGAAATTGTATGTATCATGGTAGCTGGTATACGCGGTATACTGTAAAACATGTCCACAATTTCGCTATTCCGGATTTCGCTAATTTAAAATAAATCATGTTCTTTAACGACTTCAAGATTTGCATCATCGGCTCGGGAATGATGTTTTTACATAATCAATCGTCCTGGAGTTGAATCATGGATGGCGAACGATCTGTTCAATTTGAATAGACCATTTTCCCTTCACTGCGAGAATCACGCGTTATGCGTGAAATCGAACGTAGAAACAGGACAAACAAAGGTCATAGCGTCGTAGTCGCGTCAAACATCGCGTGGGATTCGACAAACGCTAAGTATTTTGGGGTCATTTCCATGCTTAATAATGTGCTGTTCACATTTGATGATAGGCAATTTTGATTAAGTAAGGGTATTCGGAAGCAATATTCCTCTGTCGAAGATCGGCCGGTCGATGTGAGTTACGAAATAAAGAAATTCGAGTTCAAAATCAAATCGTTCGATTTTTGCGGCAGACGTTCGACGCGCGTTTTTCATACATCTCACGAGATCTCGCAATTGTACGGAAAATCCCCTATTGGAGTGTGGTTTGTTTTGAATTGTTGAACGGAAACTCAACAATAATGGCGAGATCTGACACTAGAACGAGACAAAATTGATGGACACAAATGATTGTTAGGACTTGGAAAACAAATCGTTGGTTGTTGTTGTCAACTATCGTCCATAAGTTCCTTCTCACTTGTCCATATAAGATTAATGATTTTATTTCCTCGCAGGTGAAATGGACTCCTCTTACTTGTTGCGATTGTGATTGTTACTGCGAACGTATTACTTAATCTGGCGCTTATTCATGCTATAGTTTTTTTGTTTTTTTTTTTGTTTTGTTTTTTTTAAATATTTTTTGTGCCAGGCGACAGTTCTGGACATTGAGTATCACTGTTGTCTCACCTGACATTTTTTTGTATGTGCTATAGTTAGGCGGCCTAACTTGGGGATTAAAATTAGGGCCCCCTACCCGGTATTTCACCAATAGATGTTACCGCGCTATTATTCACCGTGACAGCGCGAGAAGGCCTTGCACGGCGTTGTAAAGTTGAAAAGTGTGACGTTATTTCAGGCATAGTTGTGCCACTAGCATCCAGAATAGGGGTTTTATCTGATTGTTCTGTGAAAATTACTCTGATCTTTGAATCGTACCTTCAACGTATTAATTGTTGAATAAGTCAACGAACAACGTTCGTAAAAGTATAAAAAATACTTGCCAAATAATGTAATGCACTTGTCGAATAGCCCACCTTGAATGTTCAAGGTAGAATGTTCCAGCTTTCGTTCGTGGAAGGGGGGGGGGGGTGAAACCTACTCACGCTGATGAGCGGATGATGCCTAGCCGGGATTTGCATACTACTATATACTAGTATCTAAATATTTTGTTTTATTTGCCAGAACATGATCGTTCGTAGGTGAAGGCCCGCCCTCAACGTTAAGATATTGTATGTATCATGGTAGTTACTCAGACAAATTATGCGCGGTATTTTGTCATACTATTTATCACTGTGACTATAAGATGACGTCACATTACTACTAAAAATAACGATGTTGATTATATGGCAGAAACTTGGAAGTATGTTTAGAAATGTACATGTGTTTTGATAATTCTTGACCGGAGGGGGGGGGACATCCGGTCTGTTTTGGTCCAGTTTTTAACGGAGCACTGCCACCGGGTTAATACCCCCCCCCCCTCTTCCGAGCGTACAACGAGCAACTGAACAACGACGTGCCTGTGTTTTTTTTCAGAACACAGCATTCGTGAACACTGTTAACAAATATCTGTGTTGAAAAGTATGGTCTCAGTCCCTTGGAGTAATTTCAGGTTCAGTTGCGCCCTCTATCATCGAGAATACGGGTCTTATCTGATCGTTCTGTGAAAAGTACTTAGAAACTTGAATCACTTCGTCAGCGCATTAACTGTTCATTCAACCCCCGTCCCTCAACGATGGTGATTCAACGCTCAAAATTATTAAAAAATAGAACAAAGTACAATGCACTTGCCTAATTTTCTGGGCATAATGCACCAACTTCGTAGAAAGAGGGGCGAACAGAGGGCTTCGCTTCCAGAGGTCACCAGTAACCTGGCTACCCATCTGTGTTGCAAATACCTATACCAATAATATTTACCCGTATTATATCGAAATGTGTGCTTTGTTGACTCCATTGACAACTTTTTAGCTTCTCAATGACACTGTTGACCTGGTATTTATATATTTAGTTATTTAATGTCCAGAGGGGGAAATTAAAAGCTTCCTTCACCCCACCATCCTTACATCAGAACACCCTTTCATAAAGAGATGATAATTTTCACACGTGTCCAACACTATTTAGAAATTGTGTTTTGAATATTGGCTACTGTCCATATATTTGCTCTGCTTGTCAGACTGGAAATCTATGAAAAGTGAAATGCTTGAAAAACCAAAGACTATAGAGAAGATATATAGTCTTTAGAAAAACGAGTGGTCTGAATGATTGGAGAGATTTGGCGTTACATGAAGAGCGCCGCTTATGGCGAATCATTGCATGGAAATACGAGTGACCGTGAAACTGTAGACCACCACATTTCAAACGCATTTATCTTATCGACGCTGTGGCGACTTCCATTTAACTTTACACCTACCAAGTGACGACAAACCTATCAAGTGAAAACCCTCCCTATTTTTCATGATCGCTATTAATACTTAATCGAATTTAAGCCAAGTTTGCGTAGCTTATAGGGTTCGTAAAGAGGGAAGGTATAGTACAATAATTGTATCATACCTACCCCTTTACTTTAGGGTTAGTAACCCTAATCTTCTCAAAAAATTTTATGTAAAGTTACAGGATGTATGATGTTATTTATACTTTATTTAATTAAAATTGAATTAAAACGCAGCCCTATATAGAGTCGCGTTTTAATCGTGTTCATATCGCAACTAACAGTTAATTCAATGTGTGTCGTCATAACGATGGTAAGACGTGTATGTGTGAGCTGTAAAATTTCAACCTCCCATATTTAGCCGTTTATCTTAAACCATAGACCTTAAATTTCAAGGTCTATGCGTAAACAAATCTCAGTTGTGACCAAAGCTAGAATCTTTATATAGGTCTTCTGCTCTGCATCGTGTCACAGAGACGTTCACAAAAAAATAAGTGAAAAGAGTTTCTACTGAGTATTTCTTGAATCTTGTAGAAAGCATTCAAGAATATGAACAAACAAAAAACCAAAATATGCTAACTTTTCACAAAATGAGCAAATCTGAGAGAGAACAAATACGAGTACTTCCACGATACATATAGATGCAATGGGTTCTACGGAACGTTGGCTTAGGTTGAATTCAAAACATTGGCGTATGAGTTATGATACGTTGTCACATGATTGGTCCATGTCGTGATTTTATTCGGAGCCATTGTCGTGATTTGTAATCACAACGGCGAATGAAGGGATTCTATTTATATTCAGTGTCTTCAGTTTACATTGTATCACGTGCGACGTCACTTGCGACAGATGCCACGCGAGACAGCAAACGTCACACGAGATGTACGTCACGCGAGAGGGATGACGTCACACGAACGTGCTGAGTTAAGGGAGATGTCACTTGACTTTTGCAATGTTGTTTTATTTTGTGTTGTTATCCATAAAAAAAAAATAGATAAAACATAAGGTCACTGTCTAAAGTACCCTTTGCATAAAAAGGTTAAACATCCACGACAATGGCAATTTTTTGACTATTTATGATTGGGTAATTTGGTGGTCATATAATATAGGTAGGGACTTGTGGTTGTCACAAACTATGACAAATATTATCCCTTTTTTTTGAAACAACTCAAATAGATTCTGATTTCATATTTTTGTAGGTCTGTTCCAAGCTCAGTTTAGCTCAGATATTTTGACTACTTTGTCTAACTAGCACTTATGATAATCATTATGGCACACTTAAGCTGCTCATAATTAGTTTCTCTACCTGGATGCCTGCAGAGAATAACATGGGATTCACTTTGTGAGTATTCTTTCCCCCGTATAAATTCTGAGGCAAACAACCTCTGAGGTAATGTGCTAATATCATGCAGTCTTTCCAGCGGTCCAGGTGCAATCATACTGTTAACAAGTTAATTTTTGTTGTGATGAATTTTCGCAATTTGACTGTTTTATGCCATCCATGAAGACAAAATTTAATGTTGTAGGACTTCAGAGAAACTGGCACTGCTACAAAACTTTATAATTTTCACAGACTTTCAAAATTAAAGTGGTTTACAGTATTTTATCTAGCTTGTGAATCCCAACATGATATTACATCAGGGTCCATAGCACCAAAAGCTAAATGATTTCCAAGACTTTTCCAGACCTTTTCCCAAACTTTCTTGCACCCTCCCAAGACATTTTGACCCTTAATTCAGGCCAGCATCATCACCAAAGCTCATCAAAGTTCTGAGAATATGGTAGTCCCCTGGAGAAAACGAGCCATTCTAAAATGAATTAATAGCTATGAAGAAATTTAAAGACTTTTCAAATTTTTTTTTATTTTTCCTGCAATTTAAAGACTTCCAGTCCTTCAAAAACTTTCTAAGGATATTCCTCCACGCTATAGACATTATACATGTGTTTTTATTCGTAAACATTAGGAATTTTAGCTCAGCATCTGAGAGATCATCAAAAGACTCACTTTATACGAATGTCGTAACAAAAAGAAGCAGAGACTGAATAAAATAAAATATGTGATACTGTAGTTTATTATAAAAACAGGCCTCAACTTGTTGGCCCATAAAATACAATGTGGTTGGAAAGATTAAAACATTTCCGTAAAAATCATTATTAGTAAAGAAAAATAAAATACCCTGATTATCTAACATCACCGTTAGATTCAATTAATCTAATTCATGAAAAAGAAAAAATAGTTAAACATCCTGAATATTTTTGTTTCTGGACATTGATAATTCCTTGTTTCTAGATTATTATGAACATGGAAAGGCACTGACTGATTCAAAGAATTTTGTCAAAATCGAAAAATTTCTTCAACCTGAAGAAAAAAAGCACTGGACAATACTCAACAACAGAACAGAACAAAGGCACTCCCTTTATTTTTGTTAATATTTATAAATTTCAATGGCAGTTGATTCCAACCAATGTTCCAGTGCTATTCAATCAGCCAATGAAAACCTCTTGTTTAAGTTTGAATTATTGAAATCCATATTTATAAAGATGTTTTTTTTTGAGGTGAGAGTAACTAAAATATGAACATTAATATAACCAAAAACTGAGTTTAAAAATAAAATAAGGTGTAAACATCAGAGTTACTAATTATACTTGGTATAAATACTGGTCAAGTTCAGCCCAGATATGGGTACACTGCTTTAAGGATGACAATTGTTGTGGCAGCGCCATTCGTAAAACGCTAAAAGAATTTACATGATGAAAACCAGCAGAAATCATACAGTTTTGTAAAATAATTTCAAAGCAGAAAAAGTTTTCAAAAGGATAATTAAAATATGGAAAAAAAAATATGAAAACTGATAATGTGGCCCCAGTGAATTACACAATTATGTAGAAGTAATGCATGTATGTATTATTTTTAGAGAGGATGTTCTAGTTTATTTGCTTGATTGAAAGCACAACTTCAATATGTGTATTTCTTTACATTTACTGCACTATTGTCTGTAAAATACGAATTATTTTGGACATAGATACCGTTTCATCATTTACAAATGTGCTACTAATAGAGCAAATACAGTATCATGATTTTAATATTATGGTGGGTAACAGATTTAGAGTGTTATCACTTTGCAAGTATATCACATGAGGTGTTACACGGGACAGACAATGTCCACGAGACAGACAATGTCACACAAGCAACAGTAGATAAACACAAAAGAAAACATGACACAGACATCGCTACTGAAAATAACAACAATTATCAATAAAAAAAGTAATTAAAAGCAGCCAATCCTAGTACTTGATGAGAATAAAAGATTTAACGTTAAAAAACAACCACCGCTTCCTTTAAAAATATTTATGCAAATGTGTTTCATAGATTTGCATGCATGCAAAAGGTCATACTTGCATATAAAGGTCAAAATTAGAAATTGCATACATATCCCACCCATAATGCATTGCACTCGCTCTAAGTACATGTACACTGATATTTTGATAGCAGTCACGAGTTTGGTGTTACAAATACCACTCACATGAATGTGACCGTGGAGTGGGGATCAGTTCTTATGTTTAATATTGAAAAAAAAAGGGTCGTAGAATACAACAATGAAGCAGAGAGACTCCTGAGATGAAAGTGCTGGTTGTATTCATTCGTTGGATAATTAGAATTTTGTTTCAACTGAGCTTTCATTCTTAATATCCATAGGCTCATTTTGATTCTGGAAAATAAAAAATAAAACAAGTTTTAACATGTTATTGTATTTTTAAATCAGAATTCAGCAAGCATGTTTTAGACATTTCAGAAAATACAAAATTATGAAGCACAAGTCAAACAAATTTACTGGAAAACTTATTAAAAATTACTTTAAGCAAAATACGTCTACTAATAGTCATCCAGAAAGTTTAGTCATTCTATTTTTTTTATTAGCCTTCTGGTTGTTTTTATAAACCATAAAAGGTGAGCAGTGTTTTGTGATCAGGCTGCTACAAAATTAAGACTCAAACAAACTGGTATGTAAATATCTCAAAATCGTCAATGATGTTAAAATAATGATATTTGGTTTGCTTACCTCAGAATTGACAGAAGTGGCATAGAGTATTGCATCATGTACTGTGACAAACAAACACTCAGGTATCTCAATCTTTTCCATCTTGACAAAGTAGTCACAGCGGTTCAATGTTTCTTTGACATTGCCTAAAAGAATTGGGAAAACAAGAACAAAAGATGAAACATTTGGTAACAGCTTTCTAAGTCAAGTGCACTTTTCTTTTTTTTGAGCTGAAGGTGCAATCGTCAATAGTTAATACAAATTATAGCCAGACCGAGAACTGCCCTCTTAAGCACATACCACCATCAACATATGTTTAACAATGTAGTTCTAGGAGTTTTAGATTTTTTTTTTTTAGGCCACAGCCAGTTCACAATAGAAATTCCCAGTAACTATGATGTGAACTTGTTCTTGAAGATTTTTTTATTTATAAATGGGGGTAGCATTTTGTAACCAAAAAGGAGATTTTAGGGAAATTTTTGAAATTTGAAGTTTTGAAAGAAAATTTTATAAAAAAAAAAAAAAAAAGACTCTTTGTCTTAAGGGCCTTGATGAAATGCTTCAAAATAAATTATCCTGGTTTGCAAGTTTATATGAAACACACAAAATCTTCAAGACAAAATCTTCACTGTGATTACCATAACAATTCAATTAACAATTCGTGGTCTCTATTAATTCGCTTACCCATAACAGGTCGCAGTTTAATTTATGTACAATATATAAAAGCATCAAAATAACACAACCTGGATAGCAAAGTGGCTTGAATAACACACCTGTATTTAGCTGTCACCAGTTGCGTTAAATAAATCAGACAATACTGAAATATTTCACTGAGCATTCAATCTGTGTACCATGGATTTTGATGTGACCCCGATCAAGCCCCCAAGGTTTGAAACCAGACACATGTGACTAACCTCCTGAGACCCTATTTTGTTTTCTGATTGAGGAGGTGTCGATAATAGTCTCATAAATACAAGTTGACAACGCGGTGATCTGTTTTCAGACATCAATTGATAAAAAATTGCATTTGTGTTTTAAATACTTTTCCACTGAAAAATTTCTTTCCATTCCACTCTATTCCATGCATACATGGTAATTACTGGTACAATATGTGGACCTTTACTAAAACTTATTAAGCACGACTGCTTAGATGTCTCAACACATCACTGTGAAATACTTTATTTTCGCTTAGAATTTATTTTCACTAAAGGGATGATTCATTGAAAAAAAAACCCCAGCAAATATACCTTTTTTTCCTATATTTTTTATTCAACTTGTCAAAAATCAGTAAAAATAAATTCTATACAAAACACCAAAAAAGTATTTCCAGCTAAAATAAAGTGTTTTACAGTATATTTTAACCTTGTTATAACGAACGCCTTTACAATCAAAATTTTAATGTATGTATGTCTTCAAAAGAGTTTGTTATAACAAGATAATGTACAACTACTGTGGATTACTTTATTTTCGCTAGAATTTATTTTCTCTGAAATCGCTTTTTGGGCGTTTTGCTTGGAATTTATTTTCACTGATTTTTGATGAGATTAATGTAAAATATAGGAAAAAATGTATATTCACTGGATTTTATTTTCACGGAATCATCCCTTCAGCGAAAATAGCGAAAATAAATTCCAAGCGAAAATAAAGTATTCTACAGTATACATAAGATGAACTGACAATTTTTTTTCCCTTGAAAACTCAAACTGAGAACAATAAAATACCTTGACAATCAGCTAACAACACCCGGATCCCGATCTTCTTGTAATCCATAGCCAAATTAGTCAATACAGTCACTCCATTAACGTCGATAAAATTGAACGTGCCACAGTCGATGATGATGGTATGTAAATGAGGTAATTGTGGCATACTCAGTGCGACTTCTTCACTGGCATCATGGTTTGGCACAAAGTCAACCTGCTCTTTGTCACTGATAGTTGTCTGCAAGAACCAAGTTACTTATGGTTAAGTCTTGTAAATGTACAGCAGATGGCAAGGAAAATCAAAAACAGGATGATGCATTGCGAGATAGTTTTACAAATAATAACCAATGTTTTTGAGAATCATTTTTGGTCACAGGTATGCAGTGATAACTGTAGACGCAATTACCATTTACTGGTTTTTTTTGTGTTATTTCCTTTACCACTGATAAATTTGTTTTATGTGAAATAGCAAAAACGCATTGTTTTACAACAAATCAGTGAATTGTTGTTGGACTAACGCCAGTTAATGAGCGAGTATTAATTTTACATTATTGAACTCCGGTTGCTAATTTTTAGTAACCTTGGCAACAGTTTAAAATAAAATAACAACCTGAGTGAATTCTTATTTTGGTAAAGATTGCCTGTTCCATAAATTCAAATAAACTGAAGAAAAAATTCCACAATCCATAATGCATTACTAAATATCTTTTATTAAGTGATATTATTGAAGTAGTTTAACACTATGCCTCCTGCACCAGTCAATATACTCACTCCATTCTCCTTTGCTTTCTTTTTGTTCTGCTTCTGTCTTTCAATTTCCTGTTGTTTCATTTTTTTCTCAATTTCTGCCTTGGCAGCCATGACAGTTGTTGGATTAACACCAGTTAGCTTGTACACCTGGTTTTTGAAATATTCACAGTTCACATAATACAGCGTAGATCCACTGGATATTACTTTGATACCATTCACTTCTTTGGCCTAAAAATAAAAAGGAATAATGAGTAAGTCACATGTTTACCGAACTCCCAAACTAGCTGTGCCTGACATCACAAAAAAACTTCAGGCAACTGTAAAACCCAATGTCTAACTTCACAAATATTTTTGCCTAACTGTAGAACATTTTGTGCCTAACTTCACAATAATTTCTTTGCTCTATTGAAGGCACATTTCCAATAAAAATACATATAAACCAAATATTGCATTTTTTATATACAAAGCATTAAAATAATATTTATTTAAATATAAAAACACCTCTAATTTTACATAAGCAGACTTATTAAACTATGTCTTTTTTACAATGAAAACATCAGTAGACTGAAGTCCAAACTAAGATGAAATATTTTAAAATATTACAATATCTGAACTAATAAACAATTCATATTTAATTAATAATAGTTTTATTTATTTATTTTTTGTAGACTGTATATTTTGAATATTTGGCCAATACAATACTACAGTTGCATATTTTTATATAGTTGTTACTATTGATATTACATGCAGGCAGAAGGAGAAAGTGGTAGAAGTGAATTTGGCATTGTAGATATTCACTGGGTTTTAAATTAACTGATTATATTATGAAATTAAACATTCTATTGTTAAGTGTGAATATTTCTTGAGTTTTAATTTACTGTTTACAACTATCAGTGAAAAAAAGTGAAATTAAAAACAAGTACCTGACTCAGTTTACATAAAGTGCTTATTATAAACCACCATGCACAGAGGCACTAGGTGACAAAAATAGATAAACTGCATCTGACCTGAACGGTAACGCCTATTTGCATATAGAAAGTCAACACGGCAATCAATACCCTGATAAGTGACACATGTAGCAATAAACGAGAATTTGTCAGTGTCAGACTGAAAACAATTCATTTCAACATCTGTCTTACTGTACTTTTTGGTACGGTCGTAATGATTCACATCACGATGGCCGATTCATTGTACAAATTAAAATGCCAACTCATACATGTAGGACATTTTGGAATGATTGCAGCATGAGCTAACATGCACAGCAACATTGTGTTGAAAATAAATAATTTTTATAGCATTTTATGGTTAACTGAAATTTGTTCTTATTTTTGCTTTCAATGTTATCAGAAACACAATATTTTATTTGGTCTTATTCAGGTTTAACAGCTTAATTATTATTAGAATATCAAAACCAATTTTTTTTGCAACATTTCACAATTTAAATCTGCATAATTCCGTCCACATTATGGTCTACCTGATTCAAATAGACATTAAATGTCATTAAAATTTGGTAATCAATGGTTTAACAGCATTGGAGAATGTGAAACGGTAAGATATGTAGTTTAGTGAACACTGAACTTGAACTTTTTTATCGGTAATCTATAATAAATGAAATGCAAAAGTGGTCAAAAACATTATAATTCTGCAATCTGTACTTTCTGAATTCCCTTTGATGTTGTTTTATAACCACGGAACTAAGATCTAACCAATTCTGGTTATTGTACCGAGCAACCATAGAACTAACCGATAGACAAACATACAAGATTAGCTTAAATATTAGCCTTCAATTTATGTATCCTGAACATGACTACTACCGTAAAATCTGTATTAGAAGCCGCATCCCTAATAGAAGTCGCACCCATTTTTTTTGAATAATTGAGAACCAAAAATTCATCATTTCTCATATGTGTAGATGCTCTATTAGAAGCCGCATCCCCTCTGTTGCATTGTACCATTTTAATAGAAGCCGCGGTTTCTAATACAGATTTTACAGTAATGGAGCTATTCACAGTATCTATATACTAGTGTAACAAATGAACTACAACCGAGGAGTTAGTAAAAGTATTATTTTCGTGTATAACCTAGTGAATAATCCTTGAACATCAGCATAGATGTATAGTCTTTATATAAAAGTAGTATATAAATTAATAAACGCTGCTCGGACTGATAAATATGATATATAGTAGATAATATTTA